TGTGTGTGTGTGTGTGTGTGTGTGTGTGTGTGTGTGTGTGTAAGGCAGCAGCCGGGGGAATTGCTTGTTTGGTTGACCCAGAAGGCCGAAGTTATCCTCAAAGCCCCAGCCCCAAACTCTGAGCCAGGATCTAAAGGAGAGGTTTTATTGAACTATAAAGCTGGAAGAGACTTTTTTGTCCCATGCCCTCCTTTTATTGATGAAAGTGGGGCTCCAAAGTTAAGGGACTTGTCCAAGGTCACTCAGGAGGGTGTTTAATGGGATGCTGGAATTCAGGATGAGAAAGACCTGGGGGAGGAATTCCCAGGAAGCCTGAGAGCAGGCCCTTGTCAATGGTCCATTTGGAGGTGGCTGGAGGGATCCCCAAGCAGCATCTCCTCTCCTGCTCCTGCCCAGGCTCTCTTCTCTTACTCACAGCTGGTTTTCTGTGTTAGAAGAGAGCCAATCTGCAGCTTAGGAGAGAAGGCCTAGCAAGCCAAATTTTCCTAATCTGGAAAACAAAGAGGTTAGAACAGGTGGCTTATAAAGTCCTTCCCAGTGTTGCTAGGCCACCTCTCCATCCAATCTTAGACTATAACCTTTGGCTGGAGAACCAAGCCAGAAAGAAAGTTGCCAGTGTTTGTGTACACGGGTTGGTGACCTTAACTCTGAGGGTTCTGATCATAGCATCATATATTTAGAGCTGGAAGGGACCTTAGAGGTCATCGCCCTCTTTTTACAAATGAGAAACCTGAGGTCCAGAGGCGCTCCATGGGGATCTGCTCTTTTACCTCACCCCTCTCTCCCAAGGAATGAGTCAGTGTGAAACCTGGATTCGAATCCCTCCTCTAATAATGTGATTTAGGGCGAGGCACCTAATCTCTCCAAGTCTCAGTTTCTTCATCTCTAAAATGGGGATTATACTGACTCCATCTACCTCATAGGGTCATTTTGAGCAAAGAGCCTTGTAAAGTCTGGTTTGTAGTACTAGATGAATATGATTGGTCTATTAACTAGGTGTGCCAGAAAAGCACTGGCACCTTACCTTGACTTAGTGCGACAGTTAGAGCCAGGGTGTGGCGGGGTGAGTAATGGGGCTAAAGCAGCCAAGAGCTTGGCAAGTCTTTTTGGAGAGTATTTACTACCTGGGGAAGCACAGATGTGAATGGACCCTAAAGTCAGAGAACCTGGATTCAAATCTTCATCTGCCATTTAATGACATTGGGTCAGTCCTGGGCACTCAGTTTCCTCATTTGTAAAACGAGGGGTTTGGACTAGCTAGGCTTTAATCTCATGATTCTGTAAATGGGGAGGGACATCCTTCACCATCCCCCCTCACCTACACAGTAGCTTCCCTTACTTCCACGGGGCTTCCCTTACTATCTAGCAGCCAGCAGGGGGAGCCCAAACTCACCTTCGCCATGGTCTTTGGGTTCTATCCATCTGGGGCTGGTGAGGAATGCAAGTCACCCATGTCTTACCTGGTACTAACTCTTTCAAAGTCCGTCCACATTTGTGCTCCCTCCCAGTAGTAGATTCTCTCCAAGAAGACTTGCCAGGCTCCCGGCCACTTCTGTCCCCATTCCTCACCCCCTATTGCCATGATTGTCCCACTAGGTGAGGCAGAGATGATGGGATTGCACTGATTTAGACCTGGAAGGAATCATTGGGTTTTCAGGTAACAAATCCAGCTGGAGAGGACCCCGAAGGCCATCTAACTCAACCCCTTCAAAGTGCAGATTGGGCAGTGGAGGCTCGGGGGTGGGGTGGGGGGGAAGAACTTACCCCATTTATTACATAGGTGTCTGATCGGGAATATGTGATTTTTATTACCTGGGAACTCTGTCTCTGGGTGGATGGGGAGAAATTCTCAACCCTGGTAATAGACAAAGGGCAGAGCCTGGGACTGAGGCCCTCTGATCCCAAACCCAGCCCTCTTTTGACTACGCTGACCTGCAGAATCTCCTCTTTGGAAGGAACCTCAGATGTCACCTGGTCTAACTTCAGTCAGTCAGTCAGTCAACAATCATTTTTTAAGTGCTTACTGTGTGCCAGGCACTGTGCTGAGCACTGAGGATGATAAACAGAGAGGCCCAAACAGTCCCTGCTCTTAAGGAGCTCATGGTCTTATTGGGGACACAACATGCCAAAAACAAGGTACATCCAGGGGGTGTACAGATGGGAAGGCACAGTGAGGGGCAGGGTGGAGTGGGAAAGGCCTCCTTCAGAAGCGGGGGGCTGAGCTGAGTCTTGAAGGAAGCCAGGAGACAGAGGTGAGGGGGGCCAGCTTCTGGCCTGTGGGCCTAGCCCAGGTCTCAGGTTCTGGGAAATGACTGACATGTGAGATGTCACTGAGAACAAGGAGCTGGGCAGAAATTGGGACAGAAGATTCCAAAAGAAGTTAGGTGTTCCCTGCCCAGCCTTCCCGTTCTCCATCTCTCTGTCTCTTTCTCCCCCTCCTCTGCTTCTATCCTCCTCTTTTTCTCTTTTCCCCTTCTCTTTCTGACTCTTTCTTTTTCCCCTCTCTCCCTCTCCCTCCTTCCCCTCCCTCTCCTGTCTCTCTCTCTTCTCTCTCCCTCTCTCTCCCCTCCCTCTCCTCTCCTCTTTCCTCTTCCTCCTTTCTCTCTCTTCTTTCTTTCCTCCTCCTCCTCTTCTTCTCTCTCTCCCCCTCCCTCTCCTTTCCTGTCTCTTTCTTCTTCTTCCACTCTCTTTCTTCTCTCTCCCTCCCTCCCCTCCTCCTCCTCCTCTCCTCTCTCTCCCTCTCTCTCCCCTCCCTCTCCTCTCCTCTTTCCTCTTCCTCCTTTCTCTCTCTTCTTTCTTTCCTCCTCCTCCTCTTCTTCTCTCTCTCCCCCTCCCTCTCCTTTCCTGTCTCTTTCCTCTTCTTCCACTCTCTTTCTTCTCTCTCTCCCTCCCTCCCCCCTCCTCCTCCTCTTCTCCTCTTTCTCTCTGCCTTCATCTCTCTGTCTCTCTCTCTCTCTCTTCCCCTCCTCCTCCTCTTCTCCTCTCTCTCTCTGCCTCCATCTCTCTGTCTCTCTGTCTCTGTCTCTCTCTCTCTCCCCCTCCCTCTCCTTTCCTGTCTCTTTCCTCTTCTTCCACTCTCTTTCTTCTCTCTCTCCCTCCCTCCCCCCTCCTCCTCCTCTTCTCCTCTCTCTCTCTCTGCCTCCATCTCTCTGTCTCTCTGTCTCTGTCTCTCTCTCTCTCTCTCTTCCCCTCCTCCTCCTCTTCTCCTCTGTCTCTCTCTCTGCCTCCATCTCTCTGTCTCTCTGTCTCTGTCTCTCTCTCTCTCCCCCTCC